CAGGGCAGCTCTGCCCCAGGAGGTGTGAGCAGTGCCCACTTCGGGGTGGAGGGAGGGAGTGAGGAGCCAGCAGAGGGTCCAGCGGCAGGAAGAGACAGCCAGGTGATGAAGCCTCAGCATCTGCCTTCCACGTCTGCCTCCGGCGATGCCCCATGAGCCCCCAGAACATGCATTCATGCTCCATGGCAGCACAGGGCAGCTGGCTCGTGGCACAGCTGTGGTTGCTGATAAACCCACACCGAGCACCCTCCTCCTCTAGAAGGGTGAGAGATATGGCCCAGATCCCCCCATCACTCCCTCTTCCAGTGTCACACTGCCCTCTCCTGCACCCCAGTCACGGGCCAGGATCTTAGGGCAGAGATACCCCAACATCCCTCCTGTGACTGAGGGACCACACACACTCACCGCGTGTGTTTCCCGGGAGCTCTGGGCCTGGTCCTCTCCCCCCTCTCTGGCTGTTCTGGGTTCTTCTCTAGCTCTTCTTCTTCTTCCCAAACATGGGGTTTATAAGGACTGTGACGCCCAGTGGACATGAGAAGGTGAGCCTTCAGTGCTGGATGCTGATGGAGTGGACGATGTGGCTGTGAGAGGACGCACTGTGGCTTCGCTCCTCTCTCTCTCCACTTGGAAATGTGCAGTTTAATAGAACCTTCCTGCCCTGGAACCACACAGGGGAGAGGACCTGGGGGAGATGCCCTGCAGGAGGCGAGCGGTTAATGGGCACCAGGACTTAAACTGCCATGTGAATGTGGGTAATTGCTCGCGGAAATTCTGGCAGCTCCACGGACATGGGAGTTTAGTAAAGACTGCATGTGAGGGCTTGAACTCTGAGTAGCTGCCGGGGGAAATCTGAGAGTCCTCTGTGGGGAGTAGGGAAGCCTTGATACGAGACAGTGTTACCTAGTGGGTGGGTCCTAGGGAGATGATGGAGAAGCAAGTGGGAGATGGTGGGGAAGCAGGTGGGGAGATGGTGGGGAAGCAGGTGGGGAGATGGTGGGGAAGCAGGTGGGGAGATGGTGGGGAAGCAGGTGGGGAGATGGTGGGGAAGCAGGTGGGGAGATGGTGGGGAAGCAGGTGGGGAGATGGTGGGGAAGCAGGTGGGGAGATGGTGGGGAAGCAGGTGGGGAGATGGTGGGGAAGCAGGTGGGGAGATGGTGGGGAAGCAGGTGGGGAGATGGTGGGGAAGCAGGTGGGGAGATGGTGGGGAAGCAGGTGGGGAGATGGTGGGGAAGCAGGTGGGGAGATGGTGGGGAAGCAGGTGGGGAGATGGTGGGGAAGCAGGTGGGGAGATGGTGGGGAAGCAGGTGGGGAGATGGTGGGGAAGCAGGTGGGGAGATGGTGGGGAAGCAGGTGGGGAGATGGTGGGGAAGCAGGTGGGGAGATGGTGGGGAAGCAGGTGGGGAGATGGTGGGGAAGCAGGTGGGGAGATGGTGGGGAAGCAGGTGGGGAGATGGTGGGGAAGCAGGTGGGGAGATGGTGGGGAAGCAGGTGGGGAGATGGTGGGGAAGCAGGTGGGGAGATGGTGGGGAAGCAGGTGGGGAGATGGTGGGGAAGCAGGTGGGGAGATGGTGGGGAAGCAGGTGGGGAGATGGTGGGGAAGCAGGTGGGGAGATGGTGGGGAAGCAGGTGGGGAGATGGTGGGGAAGCAGGTGGGGAGATGGTGGGGAAGCAGGTGGGGAGATGGTGGGGAAGCAGGTGGGGAGATGGTGGGGAAGCAGGTGGGGAGATGGTGGGGAAGCAGGTGGGGAGATGGTGGGGAAGCAGGTGGGGAGATGGTGGGGAAGCAGGTGGGGAGATGGTGGGGAAGCAGGTGGGGAGATGGTGGGGAAGCAGGTGGGGAGATGGTGGGGAAGCAGGTGGGGAGATGGTGGGGAAGCAGGTGGGGAGATGGTGGGGAAGCAGGTGGGGAGATGGTGGGGAAGCAGGTGGGGAGATGGTGGGGAAGCAGGTGGGGAGATGGTGGGGAAGCAGGTGGGGAGATGGTGGGGAAGCAGGTGGGGAGATGGTGGGGAAGCAGGTGGGGAGATGGTGGGGAAGCAGGTGGGGAGATGGTGGGGAAGCAGGTGGGGAGATGGTGGGGAAGCAGTGAATGGGTTAGGAGGCAGAGACCCAGGGAAGTATGAGCTGAAGTTTCTGACTCTTGCTAAGAAGGCGGTCTAAATTAAATACCTGTGGTTTGATCACATCGTTTGAAGCTGTTCCACCTGTTCAAAAAGTGCAAGTATTTATGCGGGAAACTCCCCAATGCCAGACGGTTCTCATTGCTGAGGTTCCACTCGTTTACACAGCAGGAAGACATTCACATACTAGTAGTTCCCGTCCGCTGATCATTTCAACGGCTTGATTACAAATCTCGGCAAAAAGAGTTAAAATGTTAACTTATTAGGAAAGTGTCTTGTAAAGGTAGACACACATTTAGGAGAAAGAAAGAAAAGTTCTTCTAAGGATCATTTTGGTGAGAGGCGAGGAAAACCTCAGAAGGGCCTGGACCCACGATCGCTTCATGTGGAACACAGTGTTATGTGCGCATAAAAGGTGGGAAATGGGCTGCTTCCCATGAATATTCAGCCAATAGAGTTGTCACTGGCAATCCTGTTTCCCTGAGCTCCGCTGAGGGATTTCTGAGAGCCGGGAACGGATTTCACAGGCCAGGCCGGAGGTCAGCTTCAAAGCCACCAGTGGGACCGGCACTGAAGCAGGTCAGAGCTCGGGCGCCCCTGGCTACCAATGAGGGGACGGCCGGGCACAGATTGTCCCTGGGAAGGTAACCAATTCATTCCTGGCGTCACACATTCCTCAGAGGAATCCTTCCCCGAGTTTGAGGCACTGACAATGGCGCTTAGATAAGATCAAGTCCAAATTAAGTCAACAAATAGATTCTGAGTAAAACGACATTGTGCTTAACACCAGCCGTCAGGATGAGGTGTGACACGGTGTGAACATGTAACACACAGGTTTTGTACCTCACATTGCATGGATGGACTCTTTTCTCCGAGGGCTTTCTAATCAATGCCGTTAGCTTGCTAGGGCGTCGGGAAGACTTTACACTCAACGTTCCACTCCCGGACCCACTGAGAGGCGTTTCTAAAGACAGCCCGTCAGCAAGGGACCTGTGAGTGCATCCGAGATGTCCCTTTCACCCTGTTGCGTGACCGTGTGAGCGATGGCCCTCCTACTGCGTTTGGAAAACCAGATGCGTCTTTAGTTAAGAAATGTTTGGTTGGAAAGCCACTGCTGATGTCGCTATTTGAAAGCTTGGTGACACAGGGTTTAGTTCATCCATGTGTGGTGGGTGAATTTTTAGGGAGTTGTCTTCATAGTGGGTAGGTATCCATCCGGCAACTGAAAAGCTGTCTGAGCGATCTCACATGTTTACGCGCCGACACCTGTAGGCCTGGGCATGACAGTGACGACGCCCAGGAGGGCGCTGTCTCCCAGGGCAAGGAGCTCACGCAGGAAAACAACGGCTTGCGAGTGAGTGATCGCGGACAGAGAGGAGGGTCTGGGGGGCCGGCCGCATTTCCATTATTTCCGTGTCGATGGGAATGGAAAGGAGAAATGTGCTTCCCTGGGGGCAGTGAGCAGCAGGCGAGGGCAGCGTTTCTCCAGACCCCGCCCCATGTGGCCCTCGGAACACAGGATCCTGCTCTATTTTCTTTTGTGTGTTTTTAAATATTTTTTTAATTGATTTTAGAGAAGGGAGAGGGGGAGAGAGAGAGAGAAGCATTATTGATGAGAGAGAACATCGATCAGCTGCCTCCTGCACGCCCCACACTAGGGATTGAGCAGCAACCCGGGCATGTGCCCTGACCGGGAATTGAACTGTGACCTCCTGGTTCACAGGTCGACACTCAACCACGGAGCCACGCCAGCCGGGCCCTGGTGACGGTTCAATCAGTTTGCCTGACGTGATGACGTAGGAAAATGAAGCCGGCCTTCTCTCCTGTTAGTTCTCACTTGTTTCTTAGTTTCTCAAACCAAGTTTAAATGATCAATGTTAAAACTGGGGCTCAGGCTGACATGTGATTTCCTATTATTGACTATTGATTTGAAAGGAAAACGCCTCCTCTCCTACAGAGGAGGTCAGTTGAAGTGTTTTATATTCCAAATGTCGTCACATATGTTGGCTCCCAACATTCCTCTGATTTGCTTGGTCTTTCCACTTGAAGGTACTTTTTCCTTTAGAGCTACCGTTTCCTTTTTTTAAAGAAATATATTTTTATTGATTTTAGTGAGAGGAAGGGAAAGGGAGAGAGAGATAGAAACATCAATGATGAGAGAGAATCATGGATCGGCTGCCTCTTGCACATCCCACACTGGGAATGAAGCCTGCAACCTGGGCATGTGCCCTGATCGGGAATCGACCCGTGACCTCTTGGTTCATAGTTCGATGCTGCACCACGGAGCCACGCCGGCCGGGTTGGAGCAACGATTTCCATTTCCTTCCTTTAAACTCGCACCTATGTTTGAAGCTCCTGTTTGCTGTAAAGGGATGGGCGTGGGTTGTTGTAGGAGGGAATCTAAGGCTTGAGGGAGACATTGCAGCCCCCTGCCATGTGCAGTGGGAGGGACGAAGCTGGGGGTCCGGGTGCTTACCCGGGGCCGTGTGTTGGTGGTTTGTTGAGACGGCGACTCTGGTCCTGCATCTCCCTGCACCGTGCTGTCCACTCTGTCGTATGCACCCGAGGGCCACCCGATGTGCCCACAACTGCCTTCGAGTCAGAATGGGGCTCACGATGGGCTCATTGACGTGACATTGTCCAGGGCGCTGGCATCAGCTGGGCCGTTGCGTGGGGGTAACGGCTGGGCACATGGACTGGAATAAAGAGTCTCAGTGGCGCCCTGTCTCTGGGACGCCCTGACGGTCCTGAGTGCTGAGCGGCACCCACTTGCCAACGAGAGCTCAGGAAACTGTTCATTCAGCCGCCGGATGCGTTCCACGCGGCTGTCGACTTCCCCGGGCGGGCGGTCGGAAGTAACTCTCCTCTGTGTGTTTGCAGCTCGGACGTGCGGGTCCAACCTGCGGGGGCCCAGCGGCACCATCACCTCCCCCAACTACCCGGTGCAGTACGAGGACAACGCCCACTGCATGTGGGTCATCACCGCCTCGGACCCCGACAAGGTAAGGCTCGAGCCTCTGCGGCGGGCGCAGCGGCACACGGGCTGGGCCGACGGACGGACAGACAGCCGGGCGGTGTCCCGCGCCCTGACCTCTGGCTGCGGGAGCTGAACAGTGAGAGCTGGGCTGTGTGTCTGTCCGTCCCCCTGGACTGGAAGCCAGCCCGGAATCCCACCGGGAAGGGAGACTTCCCCGCACGACCCTCCTGGGTGTGGTTGGTGTGTCCTGTTCTCTCCTCCTGGTTTCACCGAGAGCATGCACGGCAGCGTCGCTCTATCCCGGTGCAGGACATAGGATGTGATATGTGCACAGATGCTGAGTCGGTCGCCACGTGCACTGAGTGAGCACGCATCGCTCTCATAGTTGTGGATTTTCTTGTGCTGAGGACTTCAATGTCTTCTCTCTCAGCAACGTCCAAGCGCGTCCCTGAAGCAGCACCAAGTCCAGGCGGGCCTGGCGGAGCGGAGGTGCTGAGGGGGGTGTGTTCTGCGAGGCTCTGCAGACCCCCCACGTAGCGTGGAACATTGCTGGCTCGTGCGATGGGGAATCTTAGCCGGGCCGAACCGGGGAGGCATGGCAACATTCTCAGTGCATCCTCACGTTCTGTGTGGAGCATGGGGGCGGGGCGGGGGGGGAGGGGGGGGCCCTCGAGGGTGCGGCCGTGGGGAGAGCACCCGAGGGGACAGAGGCCAGGGGGCGGGCAACTGGGACCTGCTGCCGGTGCAGAGGTCACCCTAGGGTGCAGGTGGGAGTCCTCTCCCCCCCCTCTCTCCAGCTGCGTGGCCAGGCAAACAGCTGACCGCGTGGAGCCTGGCTTTGCCGTGGAGTCACCGGCACTCACCCCCATGGCTGCGGTGAGAACCTAAATCCCTGCAGCAGCTGACACTGGCCGCCCCGCCCCCTCCTCTTCGTCGTTGTTATTAAGTGACCATTAAACCGACGTGACCCACCAGGACCTGGAGGCCAGGGGATGGCTTCCCGTTTGATGCCAGTGGAAGTGGGGGGCCCTGTGGTGCCCAGGAAGGAACGGCGGGCGGTGTGCCCCAGGAGGTCCCTCTGCCGACAGTGAGGCCGGAGCGGAAGGGCACAGTCCACAGCAGGAAGCACAGGCTGCAGGATAGAGATGGGAGGTGGCAGGAGCCGGATCAGGACAAGAACTTGGGTTCCGAGGGAAGGAAACGTACCCAGGAGACTTGAAGGGTCAGGCAGACACAGCGATGCACACACTCCCACCGCGCCGTCCCCCGGACGGGTAACTCGGCAGCTAAGGAAAAGGAGGAAAGCCGCCGTAACTGTAATGCTCGCAGGAAAATGCAGCTGATCAGCGCTCTTCGGGGAAGGAGCGATTACCTCTTCAAATTATGAAATTATTCCGGGGCGTTTTTACATAATTTTAAGTAACAGATTCATCGGATCCAGAAAAGGCGCTCATTTGCATTGAGATTATGGTGAAGGCAGAATTAAATAGCATGTAAAATAGCTCACGGTGTTTGAGATGGGATCTGAGTGGTGATGGTTCCTCAGGTTGTATTTCCACGAGGAGACCGATGGATGCTTCGAAGCAGGGGTGGGACCGGCCGCTACAGCCCTGGCCGAGTGTCCTTGGTGTCAATCCCTGACCCTGCGCAGCCCAGGGGCCAGGGTGGGTCTGTTTGACCTGCACTCACTCTTTTAAAAAAATAATGTTTATTGATGTCAGAGAGGAAGGAAGAGGGAGAGAGAGAAATATCAGTGATGAGAGAGAATCATGGATCAGCTGCCTCCTGCTCGCCCCACATTGGGGATCAAGTCCGCAACCCGGGCCTGTGCCCTGACCGGGAATCGAACCGTGACCTCCTGGTTCATAGGTCGATGCTCAGCCACCTGGCCACACGACCGGGCCCGCACTCCCTCTTGTCACCTGTCACCGGACGCCCTGCAGAGTGGGCTGCAGGTCCAGTCTCCTCTGCGTGTGAGCCGCCCCTGGTTCTGGGCCATCCCGCTCCTCCACGTTCTCGATGGAGTAGTTCGTCTCTGTCACCTCATATTCCCCGTCTGTGCCAGCCCGTCCATCCTCACGGCACAGGGGGGCCGCTTTCCAGGACCCGCATGTGGCTCTCGGACAGTCTGGGGCTCAGGTCTGTGACTGTCCTTCCTGTGTCCTCTCCCTTCAGGCTCAGGGCATCCGCGTGTCTCCTTCCCACTCACCGGGTTTTCTCAGAACCCGCGGACCCCGACTTCCTAAATCAGATGAGCTCATGTTATCACCTCTGCTTGCTGCTCCCAGGGAAGGAAGAGAGGGCCAGGCCCACGTTTTTTATTTGCTTACAATTTAAGTTAAAACCTGAATCACACGCACACACATGCACACATTCACACACGCATGCACGCTCGCACATGCACACACTCATAGGCACACATACACACATGCACACTCATGTGCTCGCACACATGCACACACGCATGCGCACACACTGCAGACAGCATTTTCAGAAGGACGGGTCTGCATGCAGAAGACACTGAGGAGATAGGGAGCCATGACAGAGACTAGAGGAGACCCCAGCACCCCCCCACACTCCATGTGAGTGAAGGGCCAGGAGGCGGGGCTTTGGGATGAAGTGGGCGGGGCCAGGAGCCTGGGTCAGGCTCTCAGAGAAGCCACAGATTTACTGATGGGTTTTTCAATAAAAGTGCCTTGAGGGGAGGACACTTCCATCACATGCGGGTGCACCGCAGGCATCTGGGATGGGGATGGAATGACTTTGAAGTATCTTCTCTGTGCAAGTCTCCATCCAGAACGGCTGAGTGTCCCGTCGCTGGAATGGTGGGCGTAGCGAGAGGCCACGCTTGCTGGGGAATGAGGAGCTGCATCGACCCGATCACTGAGGGGCACAGAGACCGGGCCATCGTTAAGACTCGCTTTACAAATACGCCGCTGTCTCCCAGCCAGAGTCCCATGAATCTGCATATTATTTCGGTCCTAAAAACGGCCAAACCCAACGTGCTCTGTGTTCCCAGCTAAGCGAGGCCTTTTCTCAGCAGCGTCTACCGCAGGGAACGCAGAGTCCCTGGTCGCCATTGGCTGGGTGGTGGTCGCCACTTTGCAGGCTTTGGCTGTTGTATTTCTGACCTGCCCTTGGGCCCACAGTGAGCAAACCACATCTCCACGTGGGGCCCGTGACCTGCCCGTCTGCCCGTCTGCGTGAGGTGCGCCTGGTGGGTGTGAAGTCTGTGCTCACGGCCTGCTCCCTGTCTCTGGGACGCCCTGACGGGGGAAGTGAGCTGGCAGCCGGCAGCAGTGCCCGCAGGCCCGGGAGGGGCCAGGGAGCCAAGCAGACGTGTCCCCCTGGGCTCCCTGTGGTCAGAGGGGAGCAGTGTCCTTGACCTGGACACGCCCCCGAGGAAGTGGGCCGTCCGCCACCCCTTCCTGTGAAAGCTGCTGACAAGGGCGACATGCAGTTGTAGGTGCCATTAGCAGGGGCTCTTCAGCGCCCCCTCGCTGTGCCTGGCTCCTTGGGCCTCAGTGAAGGGATGTGAATGTTTCTATTTGTAAAACGCATCTGTTTTGTTGTTGAGAAAAAGGCTTCTGTTTCCTTTGACACGTTTTGCTAAAGAACTGAGCCAATTCTGTCTTCTCCCGGGATCACTTCTGAATCCTAACATGACAGACAAAGGGGTTCCTAATTAAACGTCTCATGTTTAGGATATCCATGTGGGCACTCATGGTTCTGAATAGTCCCCGTGTGGGATGCCATGGGTGCCGCCAGGGGCCGACGTAACGCGTGTGGACTTTAAATCATCCAGAGCCCAAGTGTGGGACCCACACTCCTCTCCTACGGGACTTGTCCTCGGTCACGATCACAAGCACCCGTTTTAACATCACCCATTTAACACCCGAAAAGCACCGTCCGTCCACATCTCTGCTCTACGAAAGCAGCTCTTACCCCACATCGGGCTGACTTGCTCCACGATGCAGTGCGATTAAATGTCCATCTGCAGCCCGGCCAGCATGGCTTGGTGGTTGAGTGTCGACCTAGGAACCAGGAGGTCACAGTTTGATTCCCGGTCAGGGCACATGCCTGGGTTTCAGGCTTGATCCCCAGTGGGGGGCGTGCAGAAGGCAGCCGATCCATGATTCTCTCATCATGGACGTTTCTATCTCTCCCTCTCCCTCCCTGAAATCAATAAAAACATATTTTAAAAAATAAATAAATAAAATGTCCAGCTATAATACTTCATGGAAAAAAGGTCTAACACTCAAGTTGCGAGTCTTACAAAATATGCATATGTATGCAGATAGCTAAATGATGGAAATGGAGAGAAAATTCAAAATATGATTGGCACACTTTAAAAGCTCACATTTGAATTAAATGTTATCAGAAGCAAATGTATATCTACAGACACACATATTTTGAATTTATATGTAAAACAAGTTTATCTTGATGTGGGATTAAAGAAAATGAGCCACAATTATGTAAAACCTTTCCGGAAGCAAGCTTTTAATAAGCTCCTTCAGATGCGGAATTTTCCAACTGGAGCTCAGGTACCCGAGCTAAGTCCCTGGGCACCAGGCATCGGCCACCCTCCTGCGCCCAGAGCTCCCTCCGCCCCACCCAGCCTCAGGGGGGAGGGCAGGGCGCCTCCTTGCTGGGACCTTCCCATACCTGGCCAGGTGCACCCTGGCTACCCCTCCAGGAGAGCATGGAGCCTCCAAGTTCTCAGGCTTCTGCCCCGCACCTGTGCCCCTGCCCTTACACAGCCCTGCTCAGGAACGCTCTCTCCTGCTCCTTCCTGTCCCCATCTTCACACCCTAAGCAGGTCCGCCCTCTGCTGAGCATGGCAGCCTGGCTCACCCTGCTTCTGAGAAGAGAATATGTAACCCTGCTTTCCTAAACCCTGCTTTCAGGCAGCTCTGAAGCACGCAGCATGGCCTTTTGCAGCCTGGGCTTCCCAACCTTCCGATCTCCTCTTACGTTCAATAGCATCAAAACAGTTCCACCCCAGCTGGTGTGGCTCAGCAGACA